TTTTAAAAGGTTTTAAAAGGACGTCTCAACCCAATTAATACTCTGCTTCAACTCGCTCTTCAAATATTCATATACACTATTTTCAAACCCTCTTTCTCCCTTTTTTAAAATATTTCTCTCTCTCTCTCTTATTTTTTTCTTTTTTTCCAAAGTTCTATTCCTAAATAGGCATTAGATAGACAAAATCCTTAAGATCCAAAATAGACAACTGATACTCCATAAACCACAGTGCCAGAGAGGTATGAGCAAGATGAAGAAGCAGAGAAACCTTTCCCAATTAAAACAACAAGAGGAATCCCCTGAAAGAAAGATCAATGAAATAGACATTGATATCCTACAAGATCAAGATTTCAAAAAAGGACTGATCAAATTGCTGAAGGAATTAAAAGAGATAGCGTTTAGAGATATAAATTATGTCAAAAATGAAATTGAAGCTATAAAGAAGAGCCAAGTAGAATGGGTAAACACATTGACAGAGATGACGAATTATCTAATAGCTGCGCAAAGCTGACTAGATATTGCAGAGGAATGAATTAGTGATCTAGAAGACAGGGCAATAGAATGCACCCATTCTGAAGAACTACAAGATAAGTAAATAAAAAATAACAAAAATAGCATAAGGGACCTATGGGATATTACAAAGCATCCCAATCTTCTCATAATAGGGGTCGCAGAAGGGGAAGAAAGATCAAAGGGTATTGAAAAGGTTTTTGAAGAAATCATGACTGAAAACTTCCCAAACTTAAAGAAGGAGTCAGATATCCAAGTACAGGAAGCTCAGAGGGTCCCAAACAGGAAGAACACAAATAGATCCACACCAAGACATATCATAATCAAGATGGACAGAGTCAAGGATAAAGAAATGATTCTAAAGGCAGCAAGAGAAAAGCAAAGTGTGAATTACAAGGGAACCCCCATAAGGCTCTCAGCTGATTTCTCTACACAAACACTACAGGCCAGAAGGGAGTGGCAAGATATATTCAAAGCCCTGAATGAAAAAAAAGATGCAGCCTAGGATACTTTATCCAACAAGGCTATCCTTTAGGATAGAAGAAGAAATAAAGAGTTTCACAGACAAAAAAAAAGCTGCAGGAGTTTAGCAAAATTAAATCCACGCTAAAAGAAATATTGAAAGGGCTATTCTAAATAGAAAAGCAGCAGGATGCTACAGAAATGAGAAACTCACCACTGGAAAGGTGATACTCATGAATTAC